TTAGAGGGGATTTTTCAGGGGTTCAAAGGACTTCTCACTAAGGTCTCAATCTTTATGATGATTGGATAAAGTATGCTTATGCTTTTACAGACTAAGATGAGGGGTGCAAACTGATGAAATGGAATATTGAGTGGGCTCACATCACGTGCCATACATGAATCAGCTGAATTTAATCAGTAGAAAATACAACAACAAAAAACCAATATGCCATGCCTTGCAAACCACAATGGCTAAATCCACACATTGTGTTAAGCAAAAACAAAACAGTCCTAATTATGGTTTCAGGTTACAATGAAGCCAGCCATTATGTCCCATATGTTACATGAACCTGATACTCAAGTCAAACTCTTAATTGCTATTAAACACTAGTGCTAAAACAATAAAGAATAGCAATACAGGGGAAAAATCAGAAGTCAATAATAACTATATCCATATTGCATTTAAATTTAACAATTTTAACTTGGAACTTCTACTGTGTCACCCTGGAATGTCATGTTGTTCAGCTCATAGATTAACATCTAAGTCTGGAAGAACTTTCAGCTTAAACCCCAAATATCTCCACTTAAATGGATCAAGTATTGGATAAAGGGAAGAACCCAGCTACGTAGGTTCATATTGGCTTGGCTTTTGTCAACTTCCTATACGTCTTTCATATAAAAAGAGAAACAATGACTCTACAAATTAGAACCAAGCTACACCAGTAAAATGTGGTTTGATTGATTCTGTGCAGAAACCTAGCTGTGGTTGAGGAAGCTGTGTGATTATTTCATCATGGAACAATCTCACAAGTCTCAACCACAGTTAGTACTTCACCATTCCAGCAGCTTCATACATGTGAAATGTGCTTCTGGTGCAACTTAAAAATAATCACATTAGCATTCTGATCACCGATGAAGCCAATTTCAGCTTGGAGCATAAGTTCCAGTTCTCAATCTACTCTGAGTTACTTCAGGATAAATTGTAGAAAATATCTCAGATATAAAAAATAAGTGGAAAGGATTTTACACATCTCTCTCTCTCTTTCTCTCTCTCTCCCTTCCTCCCTCTCTCTAATGAAAATGGATTAAAATACTGGTTTTAAATGCATGAAAAATTGACAAGATGCTGTTTTTAAGCTGTTTTTAAGCCTTTAGACATTTACTTCTGAGTGGTTCCATTCTGAGGTGAAATGCCATGTATTTCCATTAAGGCCATCTGGAATGCTTACCCTGAGTAGAAATGCAGATTATAAATCAAATAATTTTTTAATGTTTCTAAATGAGATGGGTGGCAAAAAGGCAATTAATCAATAGCTAAACCCAAGAAATTGAAAAGCTTATAAGTGGTAACCAGAACAATATAATACAATTATCTTAATAGATATCAAGAGTTATTACACTACCTGCATTCTTATCTAGATTTCTTGATCACTGTAACCTCCAGATGTTCCCTGAGTTATCCAAGTAGATAAAGGGAAAAGAGGTTCATCCAGCTGCAATCATGTTGAGTTTATCAAAATCTCATAATCAATGGGCTATAAAAATTAAGAAGGGTTCCAGATTCATTTGATTTTACAGTTTCAGTGAAGTTCTAGCACCATTTTTCTGTTCTTATAAATTGTAGAACAATATATATATTTAAGACCTTTAAATCAGACTTTGACTCAATGTTAGAGTGTGCTCCATAGTGCCGAGTTCAAAATATTATTCATCCCCAAGCATTGTGGTTTGTAAGTTTCATCCATAGCTTCCTTTGTTTTCACAGAAGATAATATAGTATCACACTAACATTCACCTCCATGTTTTTATGTTTTCTTTTCTCTGCTCTTGACAAGATGTAATTGCTCAGTTTTTGGAGCAGAATTATAAAAGGATTTGATTGTATGATTCCCAAGTCTCCCCTTAAGAGAAGACACAGAAGATAGTTGACATGAGAAGGCGCCTCTTTGGCGTATCCTCTGAGGACTCCAATGTAGACGATGTCTATGAGAATTAGAACTCAAGCCAGTTGTGAAAGGAAGAGGTCACTGAATTTTGCACCGAAGGCAGAAGAGTCTGGGAACAGCTGGAGGAAAAGTAGAGCTCAAGTGTTGAAGCTGAAGAGCTGGCCAAGAGGAGGAAAGAGAAAACAGAGGGGGAGGAAATATAAAGGGGTGGGGAAGGAACATGGGAACCAGACAGACTTCTCCTGTCATCTAAAATATTGGCCCTAACATGAGTAAGTCCAGAGAGAGGGGGTGTTCCCAGTCTGAGTTTAATCACACACACAAACAAAATTCCCTTTGGAAAATGGGAACAGTCAAAGAAAACTTCTGACAAATTCTTCCACTTCAGAGAAATCATTGGTGAGGTGCGCTAAGCCATAATAAAGTTTGCTTGGCTGTGGCTTAGCCTGAAGTGCAAATTCATTCCTTGCAATTCATCAATTGTAAAATAATTGACAGTTGATTGTGTATTCAACACACAGTGTTTCAAATAAACAGTGGCTTAATGTAATTGTGGATCCATCATATAAACCATGGCTTGCAGAAATGCAAAGGTTACGACTAAATATTCATTAAGGAAATGAATTGGGGGTGGAGAAGACAAAGAAGCACCTGGATTAGATTTACTGGGATATCGTATGCAGGACTTTGATAGTGTTCTGTTCTGAGCTCAGTGTTTATAGGCCAATATTGTTTGAAAGTTGTGTCTGTGTTTTTCTTTCATCAGCAGGAACAAATCCAGCTATTTTTTTGTGAGGTAGTTTGTTGCCCTGCTAGGCGGCCTCATGGCTGGAGCCACACTGCTTATGTCTTCCTCCAATAGATCTTTACAGGCTTATAGATCTCTCTGTATATGTCTCCGTTTCTCCCCCATCAACAGCAGAATCTAAACAATCTTGATTCCTGTCCAGCCTGCAACGCCCAGACTAAAGGCTGGAATTTTTTGAATGGCAGGAAACCGAGACATAGCTTGTTTGTTGTGTTAGGAATCTGTGGGTGAAACAGAACAAAACGAGTCCTGGACTTTCAGGACCCAAATTTTTCTGCATTTACAAAGAGGAAGGTTGCACGAGTTGGAAGCAGATTGGGCAGGGTCATGACTCTGCCAGATTTAGTTTGGCAGGAGTTTTTCTTTCACAAGGAAGTGAACAAATAAGCAACCCCCTGCCCTCAGAAAGAAAGAAAGAAAATCCATTTTGCTCCTATCTTCCCAGTGGAACAGCTGGAACATTTTTGGATTCTTGCAAAGAGTATTTTTTTTATCCTTGATGAGGTTGCTGCAAAACCCCCAAGTCTCTCTCAAATCAACAGTTGACCCCAGTTCATGAAGATACAAGAGCAAAGCTGGAAAAAAGCCAGAAATGCAGCAAAAAAAATATCCATCACCATCACAGTAGTACAGGGAAGCCCTTTTGGCCAGAGACTACCCCTATATAGCTTCTTGACTTCTGAATGGGCAGGAAGAGTAGAGAACAAAAATATAAAAACTTAAGGTTCACAAATGAACTGGATGTGCAATGAGGCCCTGCACATTACCTCTTTCATGGCAACCAGGTTTATTAAGATTATTGACAGCCTTCTTAGTGTCATCCACGTCGATCTGCAGATGACACTAAGCTGCCAGGAAGAGACAACACCCCAGAATACAAATTCAGGACCCCAAAAAATCTTGACAGTCTTGAACAATGGACCTATCCAACAACATTAATATCTCCACACTAAATTGAGAAAAGCAAGGTTTTACACTTAGGCAGAAAAAAAATCAAAGATACAAGTGCAGATTAGGCAAAACCTGGCTCAAGAATAGTAACTGTGAGAAGGAGAGAAGGACCTTGGAGTCCTGGTGAATATGAACCAGCAGTAGGCAGCAGCAGCCAAAAAAGCTAATACATTCCTACAACAGAGGCATAAATCAAATCGCATGAAGTGTTAGTACCGCTTTATAAAACCTTAGTAAGGCCACACCTGGAATACCGCATCCAGTTTTGGTCACCACATTCTAAAAAAAAGAGGGTGACACTTTGGAAAAAGTGCAGAGAAGAGCAACTAAGATAATTAAAGGCCTGGAGACTAAACATATGAAGAAGAATGGTTGCAGGATTTGGATTTGGCTAGTCTAGAGAAAAGAAGGACTGGGGGCACATGATAGCAGTATTCCAGTATTTGAGGGGCTGCCACAAAGAAGAGGGGGTGAACTTATTTTCCATAACACCAGAGGGCGGGAAAAGAAATAATGGATGGAAACCAATCGAGGAGAGAAGCATTGTTAAAGAAACTTCCTAAATGTGAGAACAATCAACCAGTGAAACAGCTTTCCTTCAGAAATTGTGCGTACTTCATCACTGGAGGTTTTTGACTGGACACCCACTTATCTGGAATGGTATAGGTATATGGAATGGTATATGCTTGACATGTTTCATAGAATAGGAAGGGACCTTGAAGGTCATCTAGTCCAACCCCCTGCTCAAGCAGGAGAATCTAGTCCAAATATTAGCCTCTACCTAGGATTGAACTCACAACCTCCTGATTGTGAGGTGATAATCCCACCTCTAGGCCACTGGAGCTGACTAGAAGACTGCCAAAGTCCCTTCTTGCAATAGAAATCTAAATGCTATTTCTATCGCTGATCCTACACACAACGCTAGAAGAGGGAGGGAGGGATACAAATTCACTCTCAACTTGACTAGCCCAATGGCCAGGATAAAGATTGACCATGAGCAATTCCATAGAGATAATTATCCTAAGATGAATTCAGCAACTGTGTCTTTCCCGGTTCATTTGTTTCCTTGGCAGAGTTCCCAGCTCTACAGCATCATTCTTTTCCCTCTTATTTTATTTGATATTTTTTTCTTTCTCTCTCTCAGATGGATGACCATACTCTGTACGTTTATCCTTCATTTAAAAAAAGGATATGTATGTAGAAGTAGGCACAAGACATTTTTTAATATGACAAGTTTTATTACAGTGTGTATTTGAAAAGTGCTTATTAGTATCCTTATTAGTAAGTCATTTTGGTGTTTTTTTTTTCATTCTGCAGAGAAAATGCTTCCTCAAGAAGCTATCGCTGGCCTTTTTTCAACAATTCTATGTCTTGCAGGAAACATCGCACTCACAGCTGGTAAGAAATATTTGAAGAATAGAGAGGCTTCTCTGGAATTTTGTTGTTTTGGTTTGTATTAACGTCTATGAAGTTTAGAGAAAAATATTAATGTTGATGTCCATTGTCATTCATAAACATAGTTCATTTTATGTGGTAACTCTTTGCTTCAGCATATTTTACTGAATCAGCATCAATTGGCTAGCTTTATTCATTGTATTAAGACTATGTTAAATTGAGATTATGGCTTACAAACTACAGTGTCTTGGTTCATTTTAAGCCAAACCAAGCAAACCAAGCAATTAAGGTGAGTGTCATATGTGAATTCTTATTGTCTGAAGGTCTCCTATTGTAGAGGGAATAGAGAATAGCTTTGAAGGACAGTGGGAAGATCTGTTACCAAGGCAACAATCAGACAAGCTGTTCTGAACGCATTCCAAGAAAAAAAACCTAGAAAATGCCTCAGACAAGCCCTTCCCTAATTCACATGAAGATAAAAGGAGGGAAGCACATTCATGCTTACAAAATTCTGTTACTATGACTGCTCTAATTAAAATATTTATCAGAACATCATAAATACCGATGGCATTTGTTGCTTATAGGGCTGACACCTATTCCTTAAAAACTCCTACCCCTTCTTACTTTCTGCTCTGTATACTTGTAACTCCTTGCAAGCACAACTATCTTGATTTTATCAGATCTCTCAAAAATCTCAACTTTTTCACCAAAATTGATGGAATCTCTTCCCATGACTTTAACCGTAACTTAGTTGGTGACTTTGAGTGAGCTAGTTACCATATTTACATACTCCTATAAGCATTCCCAATATTATAATCTTCATTTTCACCACCTCTGTGGTTTTCCTTTCCACAAAAGAATCTCTCTGTGCAGTATTTCCTTGTTTACTCCTTCCTTGGCATAGTGTCCCATTTCCTCTGCTGTTTTCCGCAGGGTTGAAGTTTAGAACATTCAGCCTTGTAGTTTGTGAAATGCCATACACGTAGATGCAGCTGTCTAGCATTAGTGAACACAGATTATTTTATGGATAATTATGTTCAGTTTCAGGAGAAGCTAAAAAAGAGGGAGTAAAATCAAAGAGGGAAAGAATTTGACTTACAGTATCACACTGTCCTAGCATACAGCTCAGAAAGCTGGAGGATCACTATGTAAAGCGTAAACATTGACACCCAGAAGCTAAATGTGGCTCTTTCTTAGTGAGATGCCTTATGTGCTTTAAGGGAAATAAAACTTCCAGAAGAGTCTTTGAAGAAACCAGTGCTAAAATTTATTTTGTGTCTGGTGAAAAAAAATAAAAACGGACACAGATCTTACAGTTTTATCAACTGGGCCAAGCTAGTATCTACCAGAATGAGAGACAATGGCCCTGTTGTTTTATTCTCCTAGTACTAAATAACCCTCTTTTAATGCTAGTGATTGATAGCATTTTCCAGAGTTGTCCAACCATCATTGTACAAAATAACAGTCACATTGTTGGCTAGCTTTACAGTACTTCAGCAATAGTTGGGTGATCATAGGAACATGCTGGAAGTCACTTTTGTGGAAGTGATTCACGACTGATTTTTGTATGCTTTTGATGGTTATACAGGAACACTTCATTAGATGCCAATAGAATGCTTACTAAGAATAATCGGCAGGGCAGATGGATAAGGTTAGAACCATCACTGTTTTCTCATCTTCCTTATCATACTGTGAGTTCTAGGTAGGAAAAACTGGCTGGGTGATCTTGGGCCAGTCATTCTCTCTCGGTCTAACTCACTTCACAGGGTACTTGTTGTGGGAAAAATAGAATGAGATATTGGTGTGTTCATCACCTTAAGTTGTAAAACATGGGATCCAAATCTAAAAAGCAAAAACAAAACTGGGTTCCCCCAATATTTTCAGCTAAAACCAAACAAATCCTAATTGCATGACTCCAGCCACTAAATACTATACAGCAGTGATGGGGTTCAATTTTTTTTACAACTCGTTCTGTGGGCGTACTTAGCGGGCTTGGTGGGCATGACAGGGGAAACTTACTGCAAAATCCCCATTCCCTCCCCACCCCACTAACCTGCTTTTCAGCTCTGTTCTCCTGTGCAGGGCAACAAAAGAAGACCCAGCTGATCAACTGGGACTTTGGAGGCAGAGAATAGATGTGGGGGTGGGGGGGAGTCAGAGGTGGTGTTTGCTAGTTTTCTGAACTACTCAAATTTTCCGCTACCAGTTCTCCAGAACTGGTTAGAATCTGCTGAATACCACCTCTGCTATACAGCTGTTGTATTAGCTGATTTAGAAGGCATATAAACAAATAATAAGATATCTATTCATATCTGTGAATTATATTTTCTGTTGTATTACAGGTCAGTCGAACTGTGTCTGTATGCAATCGGACTGTTCAAGAAATTTCACATGCTCAGGAAATTGGTGTTTTGTAAGCAGACACTTGGAGAATGGGGAAATGATCGATAAGAAAGGCTGTCTGCAAAAAGCAAATGAGTTTTGCTGGGGCTCTATCACAGAAACCTTCGGCGCAAAATGCTGCCAGGGCAACATGTGTAATTTCAATCTTTCGGTCCAACTAATAGGTATTTTTTATTGTTATTATTTCCTTCTATGAAGACTATTCTCCCCTAGACGGGAACAAGATTGTGTACCTTTTGACTTTTCCCCTACAATAATATACACAATAGGTTGTAGTATTATACACACACGTGCACAGGCACTCAGCAAGCAGTTGTAATCTTTCCATTCTTGGAAAAAATGAGATGCTTTTACATTTTGTGAATGGATTAGCTAATCAACCCTCTTTGATGTTAAAATTCTGCTTTCTTTTGAAATGGGATTGTTACTCACCATCGTTATCTCTTGATGGTTTTGGTTTCATGCAGAAGTTAGGTTTCCAATAAGGTTAAGAGGCTGCTTTAGGTGCTAAGCTTTTCCACTTTTTAGAATTATAGGACTGGAAGGGACCTTGGAGATCTTCTAGTCCCTGCCCAAGGCAGGACACTTTACCCCCACCCCACCCCAAACAACAAATGGCTGTCCAATCTTTTCTTGAAAACCTCCAATGGTGAAGCACCCACAACTCCAGGAGGCAAGCTCTTCCATTGTTCTCACTGTTAGGAAATTTCTCCTTAGTTCTAGGTTGGATCTCTCTTTAACCAGCTTCCATTCACTGTTTCTTGTTTCTCTACCCGCAGCTGCTTTAAAGAACAAGTTGACCCCTACCTCTTCTCTCTGGAAGCCCTTCAAGTACTGGAAGACAGCTAACATGTCCCCTCTAACCCTTCTCTTTACTAGGCTAGGTCAGGAGTAGGGAAACTTGGCTCTTTTATCACTTATGGACTTCAACTCCCAGAATTCCTGAGTGAGCCATAAAAGGTTCCCCATCCCTGGCCTACTGGTTTTTCAGTTGTGAGGGAAATCAATTTTTGACTTGAATGGGACTGTTTAATATACAAATGTAGGACATATAAAGAATATAAAGAATAATAAAGAATACATTTGTATATTAAACAGTCCCATTCAAGTCAAAAAGAGCCAAGTTTCCCTACCCGTGGGCTAGATAGACATACCTAGTTCCTGTAATTGTGCAATTTTAATCACCTCTGGACACCATAGTAATGCTATTTCTTGTTAATTATATCATCAGAGGAAATGAAAATCCTATAAGACTTTATGGCTTCCTGAATTATGGAGTAAAGAAATTCAGATGCCTCCTTCTGGAGAGATATTTCCATTTGTTAAGAACAACTGGGAAGTCATGCATCAGGGATCCCCAAACTTGGCAACTTTAAGACTTGTGGACTCCAACTCCCAGAATTGCTGGCTGAGGAATTCTGGGAGTTGAAGTCCATAAGTCTTAAAGTTGCCAAGTTTGGAGACCTCTGTCATACATGGTTAATCTACAGGAACCATTGCTGTCAGAAAGGCAGTAGTAACCAACTTTAACTCTGGGATTTAATTATTAGACTTGTTTATGGCTATAGAACAGAGGTGGTATTCAGCAGGTTCTGACCAGTTCTGGAGAACCGGTAGTGGAAATTTTGAGTAGTTTGGAGAACCAGCAAATACCACCTGTGACTGGCCCCACCCCCATCTATTCTTTGCCTCCCAAGTCCCAGCTGATTGGCTGGGTCTTCTTTTGTTGGCCTGCACAGGAGAATGGAGCTGGAAAGCAGATTACTAGGGTGGGGAGGGAATGGGAATTTTACAGTATCCTTCCCCTGCCACGCCCAACAAGCCATGCCCACAGAGCCTGTAGTAAAAATTTTTGAATCCCACCACTGCTATAGAAGTACCATGTGTTATGGCTGATTCTAACTCAAAAGGGTCATTGTATTTTACATTTGCATCTGCACCCAAAAAAGATCAGGGATTACTTTTTTCTACAGCTTTTTTTTCTTTATTGTCAGCATTCTCCAATTTTGCTTTTACCCTGTCCTTTCCTTCTTTTCCCTCTAATTTCTTTTTTTTTTTTTACAGTACGCTGTGTGTGTGTGTGTGAGTGAGTGTAGATAGATACCGTGTTTCTCCAACAATACAGCCTCCCCCAATAGGAGGTCCCAGCATGTTTTATAGGCATAAAATCAAATTAAGCCCCTACCCCCTAAATTAAGGCCTATATTAAACATGCAAAATGGGGGGGAATGGCGGGGGGGGGGTCCTTGCTGTTAGGAAGTACTTTTGTTGCATACCTGGATATGGTGCTGCCTGCGTTGACTTCGGCGTGGGTGGGGCACTTCGTATCGGGAGACCTTCCATCACCATTGCTTTCCCTTCACCCTGCGCTGCCGGCGTTTGGCGCAGCCACATGCAGCCAGCTAGGGCTCCTCCCTTCAACCGGCTTCAGGCATTCCTGTCACCCCCTTCCTTCGCTTTCGAAGGCAAAGCCAATTCTTTTAAAAACGACGGCCTACTACTGGTATGACAAAGCCTCCCCTGCCCGAGTGGGCAGCCCAACCCCACGTGGGGAGGCAAATATCCTGGGGCTGCAATGGAGGATTGGCCCACTCCGGGAGAACCGCCCAGCCGCCATCCCTGCCTGGCGCCAGGCAGAGCACAAAGAGCTTCGCCTGGGGCGTGCAGTGCAGCTGACAGGTGGGCCCTCCTGCCCGGCGGCGGAGATCTTGCCAAGGCAGTGAGTGCCTCCCCGCCGGGCCCTCCGCTCATCCTGCTAGGGCTGCGCCAGAGCCGTGTGGGCTGGACAGAGCCAGGAAAGCGAGCTGCAGGTGCACGCCCACTTGCCAAGCAAAAGTGCCGGGCCGACCCGAGCTTGGCTTCCTTCCCAAGTCCCTCCAGCCCGAACCCAAAGGGGCCACTGGGAGAGGCTGCCCGAGGCAGTGATAGCGCCCATCCGTCCACGGACAGGGAGGCAAGGCGACGGCAGCCCTGCTTCCCTGGCTGGAGGGCCGGCAGAGAGAGCCCGAAGCTGCCCAACCTTTCAACCCCTCGCTCAGCCCGTCCCCATCCCCACGCATCTCCAAATGCACTGGCAGCTCCAAATACTGCAGCGGCATGGGCAGAGGTGCTCACTCGGTGGGGCTCAGTTTGGAGGAGGATGCGGCACAGGCCATTGCCTTGCCTCCCTGTCCACGGATGGGTAGGCGCTATCACTGCCTTGGGCGGCCTCTCCTGGTGGCCCCTTCGGGTTTGGGCTGAAGGGACTTGTGAAGGAAGCCAAGCTCGGGTCGGCCCGGCTCTTTTGTTTGGCAGGCGGGCGCGCACCCGCGGCTCCCTTTACTGGCTCTGCCCAGCCCGTATGGCTCTGGTGCGGCCCTGGCAGGATGAGCGGAGGGCCTGGAGGGGAGCGCTCACTGCCTTGGCGAGAGCTCCACCTCCGGGCAGGAGGGCCCTCCTGTCAGCTGCACTGGGTGCCCCAGGTGAAGCTGTTCATGCTCTGCCCGGCGCCAGGCAGGGATGGTGGCTGGGTGCTTCTCCTGGGGTGGACTGATCCTGCACTGCAGCCCCGGGAGATTTGCCTCCCCACGTGGGGTTGGGCTGCCCTCTCGGGCAGGGGAGGCTTTGTTGTACCGGTAGTAGGGCATTGTTTTTAAAAGAATTGGCTTTACCTTCGAAAGCGAAGGGAAGGCGGTGACAGGAGCGCCTGAAGCCAAGTGTCTCCGCCGGGCTCCGGTTGAAGGGAGGAGCCCTAGCTGGCCATGCATGGCTGCCCCAAATGCCGCAGCGTTGCTCTAAACTCCGCGGCAGCAGGGGGAGGAGGGAAAGCAACGGTGGTGGAAGGTCTCCCGATACAAAATGCCCCACCAACACTGAGGTCAACATCCAAGCTGTCACCGCTCACCCGCCCGAGGATGCAAGGGTGGGAGGAAATGAAGTCACCCCCAAAAAGACTGCCTAGCCGTTTTTTCAGGGGTCAAAAGAAAATAAGGCCCAGCCTTATTTTGTGAGAAACACGGTAGATAGATGATAGATAGATAGATAGATAGATAGATAGATAGATAGATAGATAGATAGATAGAT